CTTGTATAACTAATATGCCTACATTGTAATAGAACTAGAATTAATAATTTAAGTACTGGAAAATAAATTAGATATTATTGGTAACAACTAGACAACATTTGTACAAAAAAAATTAAAAAAAAAACGATGCCTTAATTTGCAGGAAGCAAGCCGTCATAATATTTGTATGGAAAAAAATGATGTATGAAAATTGAAAGACAATTAAAAGCGGTTCAAATTAAGCAACTTATATTTAACAGTAGTGCGTCTCAAAATAATTTATTTTATTAGTACAAAAAATGTATTTTAAAGCAACTGAAGTACCTTATTTATTTTTGTTTTTGTTATTTTTATACCCTCCGCCACCATCAGTGGTGATAGAGGGTATATATAAGTTTATCATTCCGTGTGTAACACCAAGAAATATTCATCTGAGACCCAACAAAGTATATATATTCTGGGTTCTTATGAAATTCTGAGTCGATTTAGCAATGTCCGTCCGTCTGTCTGCCTGTCTGTGTAAAACACGCTTGTTTGGGTGAATCTCTTAAGTAAGAGGGAAAAGGCTGGACAAATTGGAAGAGACGATGAACTCTCTGAGCCTAAACAAAATCCCAATGATTTTGTACTCAGAACAATTTAATTTGGATATGCAAAGAAATGGAAAATAAAACAAAGCAATTAGGAAATTTTCTTTGGATATTTATTAAATTATTTAAGGAATAAGGAATTCTTACCAAGGATAGGTGGACTGTATTGTTAGGAGCTAGATTTGTATCTGGCGCAAATAATCATTTATGACATTTACGAACTATGACATTTCTTTTAGAACATTATGACAATTATTTGTATACTGCAACACATAGCAATCAGCATTTATATATGTGAGAAGAAATTAGGGTTTGCAGGAAATATGGAATATTAACGAAAGTAAGGAAAAATTGCTATATGTTGTTTTTGGCGTAAACATTACCGCCCGCCTTGCAGTATACATGTATGAAAATGGAGGAAGAAAGCCATAAACACTTATTTTTGCTTGAAAAAAAATGAATAAAGGATAAAACTTAGGAATAATATTAGTAATATAGGATTTTGAATTATACTAAAAATTGCAAAATGGAATTTGAAAATACAATATCATATTTGGAAAGAAAAAGAAATATAATATTAAGGAATTCAATATATTAAGTTAAGAATAAATTCAGGTTTGTTTGTTTTCATTTTGCTTACTACTAAGTGCATTGGAAACTTTAAATTAGAGTGTTTTGTGTCGTGAACTTTGGAATATAAAATTTATTGTTTTAAACTTGAGTCTTGGATAAATGAAAGTCGGAATACAGTTCTGGAACATTGGATAATATGCAAAATGGAGTATTGCATGTAGAACTGTTTCTTCCACTTTGGATGAAATTAAGTGACTGGAAATCTTAATGTCAAAGCTATTCGTACGTTTAACGCGGCTGCATATGCCTTTTCTAAAGCATAGCAAAACCCAAGGAATAGGATTTTAGCGTTAAGAGTATGGACTAGACTTTTTCGGATTTCATAAGTCCTGCAATTGGATCTGGAATAAGGCCACTGCATTAAATATTTCGCCCTTGGATAAAGATCCCAGTTAATACGCTTCGGATTGTCTGATAGAAATGCAAGTAGGGATGTAGCTTCCTTCCAGAAAACAAGAATCTCCTTCGGATTGCTGTTGTCATCACCATTTAGGAAACCTCCATGTGCAAAATGTTGAAGTTGAATGAACAAAATTTCGTCACATTTTGTCCTCGAAAATTCTGCTATCATAAGTCTGATATTGGATGTCGTAACTTTCGGGAGTGAGTGGCCATCGGTATAGAGGAAACTACTGTGTATAAGATGTACTCTTGGATAAGTAGCATTTCTGTAATTGGCTAATTGGAATAAAGTCCGAATAGCTAGGTAAGACGTCACTTTAAAAATATCGTAATTATGGATAATTACGTTTGGACAAGTTTGAAATAAGGATGAAGGGATCTTATTATGCGTCGGATCCACAAGGATTTTTAGGACAATCGCATACTTGCAAAATGTTGACTTTAGGATAAAAGTTTTCAAGGTATTTTGTAAAATCTGGATAGTATTAATATTATACAAATAATGAATTGGACTATAGCATTCTAGTTTTAGGATACCACTGAGTAGCAAATAGAAATTATTATGAGCACTAGCTGATACAGTTTGATTCAGGCCTGAAATTTGAGCATTAGTAATCGTAGAAGGAAGTCTCAGAAGGTCAAAAAGCTTTTCAGAAATAAATGACCCTTCTGACCCTGAATCAATTAATGCTCTGGCTTGGACTTTCATGTCTAAGTGACGGATTTCTACCATTGCTGTCCCCAGTAGAACCTCTTTGGAATTTGAGGAAAAGCAGGATTGAACCATGTCAGCTCCGGAAATAGTAGACTGTATTGTAATGGAATGAGAATGAGTGACATATGGTTCGACATTTGGATCTAAATTGGAACTTGTACCAGGAGCAGATAGGTCTGTGAAAGTTTCGGAATCTCTATGGAGTAAAGTGTTGTGCCTTTTGTTGCATCGGAAACAATTAGTAGGATTACTACAATTCCGTACTGAATGTGTCTTAGAGAAACAATTAATGCACAAACTTAACTTCTTGATCTCATCAATGCGCTGGGAGTAATCCATTTGCAAAAATGTAGGACATTTGCGTATCGGATGAAATTCATTGGGACACAACTGACATTTCGGGCCTGAAGTACGGTAAGAACTGTTGGAAACGTTGGATGAAATATTTAACGCTTTGGATTTGGATGCTGAAGGCATGGAAAGAGTGAAACGGATTTCGGAAACTGATTCCAAAGTACGGTAACGATTTGTTAGAAACTCATCGAAATCCGACCACTTCGGAATGGAAGACTTATCTTTTAAACCTTGCTCCCATAGAGTTAATGTCGAATCAGGCAGTTTGTTGGAACAAAGGAACACAAAAATTGGATCCCAACTGTCAGTGTCTATATTATGGAGTTTTAGAATGGATATACATGCATTAATGTCCCGTTGCAAATTTTGTATGGATTGTGCGGATTCAAGGGATATACTAGGCAGGTTAAATAGGATTTTAAGCTGACCATTGACTTGGACTCTTCGATTTTCAAACCGACTGGTAAGATTAGACCAAGCCAAATCAAAGCCTTGGTTCGTCAAAGGACTTTTCTGGACGATCTGTCTAGCTTCTCCATAAGTCTTTTGGATTAAATGGAAAAGTTTCTCTACCGGACTAAGTATGGAATTTTTAATGTACATGGCCGTAAAGAGATCTCGGAATGTCGGCCATGACTCATAGTCACCATGGAATACATCTGGAAAATTTGGAGAAATGGTATTGTTTTTGGGTTGAGACGGAACACGAAGCGTATCGGACAATTCGGATAACTTAGTAAGGATATTACAATAAGCTATGTAAGTATTTTTATACTTGTCCTTAAACGCTTCTAAATTTTCGGATTCGTTATTGTCGGACTCTTCTTCATTTTCCTTATCGAACAAAAACTTATCATATGCTGACTTGATTCGATTCCAAGTGGACTTCAATTCATCTTTGTGGATCGAAAGTGCATGAATTGAATTTATGGGATATCGATTTTCATTATAGTCAGCCTCGAATTCAATAATACTGTCGGCAAGACGGATAAAATGGTTTGGAGACATATTGACGGTTATTATTGGAAAAAAATGGAAATTTGGAACTTAAAGAATCGTTTCTCTTACAAACGTTGGACAAATCTCAGAAAAATATAGAATTTTGGATGACAAACAATCGCGTTATAAAACTAAATAGGAAAAACAACCACTTTGGAAAAATTAATTTTTTGAACAATTAGTAGTTTTACAGCTCTGGAGTTTTATGTATGGAACAACAATAATGTAACTGAGATTTGTTTACAATTGAATTCAATTAACCCTTTGGAGACCAGGAAAAAGTGTATGAAATAATAACAAAAATGTATTTGGTAGAAAAACTGTATAATTTCACTGGACAATAATAAGTAAATTCTAAATTTACAGAATTATTTATATGCAAAATGGCACTGAAAATTTTAATAATTATGTATACATAAAGTGATCGAAAAAACAGTTTTTCTTGAATAAGAAAATATGATATAAATAGATTAAATATTAAATTAATTTAACAATATATCAAATCTAATCAATACAACAAGATTCTAAGATAATATATTGATTATTTAACAAAATATCTTATAAGACATTAATGACCTTAACGATCACTCAAGGGTTAATGACGATCAGTTGCGTATTGAAAAAGAAAGAAGAAAAGGAAAAAGAAAATAAATATATTGCATGTATATACACACGCACTAACGAGTGTAATGCTTATGGATGATGGACAATGTAATACACAAGCGGACAAACGTATGTAAATCGATATGGACAATTGTAGGTAATGTCATCAAGCAGAAATAATATCGTTTGGAAATAAACAAAATAGTAAGAGAAATTACATTAGTAAATAAATGTGTGGATTTGTATTACAGGGAATTGTAATGCAATTAAAATATGGGAATAAAGAGAATTTATTGATGGATAACTTAAAGAGAACGTGCAAAATTGTATGGAATTAATATTTTATTTAGAGCCGACGGAGGGAAGGAAATATATACAAGAGAAACGAATAACAGCCCTACTTTGTGTAAGTAGGAAAATGTAACTTGTTACTGTAGACTGTATTTTAAGACACTAATGAAAAATGTTGTCCGTTACACTTCACTATTTTACTAGAGTATCAAAGTAGTGTACCAGCCAATTCTTGTATACCCAAAGTATTAAAGAAAAATATAATTGCCGTCGGCTTTTTATGGTTTTGCACACACTTTTTGGTTTTATAAACCGCGAATTTTGTTATTATTTTACAAAATTCTCTTAATCTTTGGACAATTTTTACTTCACAAACACTCTTATGCACTTTGTAATATAAAATAGATATGCAAAATAAAAGAAAACAAACTAACCTTTGTAATAAGTTGTTGATGAAATATGAATAAAGGTGTAGATGGAACAATTTGTTGGTAGGAAATCCACAAATGAGTTGAAATCTCCGAGAGTATATGAACTTCCAATATAAATCCGGTTCGACTGGACCAAAATATTTCGTTCAAAGCTTTGGAAGGGGATGAAAGGCTGGATTATTGGAAAATGATTAGTCTCTCTGAGCCAAAACAAAATATATGGATATATTTTGTAACTCAGAATAATTTAATTTGGATATGCAATGAAATGGAAAATAAAACAAAGCAATTAGGAAATTTTCTTTGGATATTTATTAAATTATTTAAGGAATAAGGAATTCTTACCAAGGATAGGTGGACTGTATTGTTAGGAGCTAGATTTGTATCTGGCGCAAATAAGCATTTATGACATTTACGAACTATGACATTTCTTTTAGAACATTATGACAATTATTTGTATACTGCAACACATAGCAATCAGCATTTATATATGTAAGAAGAAATTAGGGTTTGCAGGAAATATGGAATATTAACGAAAGTAAGGAAAAATTGCTATATGTTGTTTTTGGCGTAAACAACGCTCACGTTAAAACGAAGCAATATAATTTAACGAAATTCAGAAAAAAAAATATTCATTATTATCCGGTATTGAAAATTAGCAAAATCGGTTCACATCGGGAAAAGTTATGAATCAAAATTTAAAACAACTCCGAAAAAATAAGCATTTTTTACACATTCTAAAGTAATTTTCTCGAAAACTATGCAAGATAATTTCATGAAAGTCATCATACATTCGTTTCTACACAAGATCTTGATTCCTGCTGAAAGTTGTCAGAATCGGTCCATAATTTCATATACCTCCCATTAGGGTATTCAAACGATTAATCGTCGATCGGTTAATCGATAAATTTTTGACGATTAATCGTTCGAATAAATTAAAATTGCCAAATTTCAAATAACAAATAAACCGAATAATTTCTATCATATAACCGATTAAGAAAAAATTACTTGTAACAGTAAAATTGCTATATACTTTATAGAAAATCCAATATTTTTATTGCCTTTTTTATTCCATTATTAATTCTTTAATTATTTTCAATAATGAAGAAAATTTATTTGATGATTTCCATAACAATACTTCAGAAACATTTTAGGAATTTGTTCTAATTTACCTACTTCTAGAATGTAAAGAAACACTTTAGATTCTTGAAAGGCAATCTTAGAAATAACCCTTACTTCTACAACCAGTTTTGGAGAACATTGTTGTGCTTTTTAAGAATTTCTAATAAGTTCTTCAGCAATAGTTATACACTAATTCAATGGAACGTATGAATTTTGGAACTCGTTGAAATATCTCAAAAACATAAAATTAATTAACTTAATTTCTTTATATAGGAAATTCACATAAAAAGAAATAATTGCGAATATTTGAGAACGAACTTAATTAAAAAATATACATAGATTTGAACTCAAAGAAGTGGAAATTATAACTTTGTTTGTTATAGGAAAAAAATAATGTAAAAAAGCAACAGAATTAATAAAAAACATCCATTTTTCTTTTATTCGATTAACCGAATAATTTTGAATTATCCGATTATTAACCGGCTAACATAAAACCTCAAATAATTATTCGTCAACTAAACCGAATAAGTGAAAAACCCGAATAATTGAATACCCTACCTCCCATACAAAAGTACATATTTCCGGAAAATTAGTTTTTTGTTACTAACTTCCGTCAGAATGTTGATATCTTCACAAAATTTTACAAATTAAAATCTTATGTCAATTGAATTTTTTGAGAGAAAAAATTTTCTGGATCGGTCCATAATTGGACATAGCTCCCATACAAGGTACCCTCCCGAAAATCACTGAAACGCGCATAACTCATTACTAAATTAAGATATCCATATAAAATTTGGAATTAGTATTGCTCATATGCACAGAAATATTACTGTGAAATTTTTTCCGATCGGTCCATAATTGGTCATAGCTCCCATACAAGGTCCCTTCCCGAAAATCACTTAAACGCGCATAACTCATTACTAAATTAAGATATCCATATAAAATTTGGTACAAGTATTGCTCACATATACAGAAATATTATTATGGAAGTTTTTTCCGATCGGTCCATAATTTGTCATAGCTCCCATACAAGGTCCCCTCCCGAAAATCACTTAAAACGCACATAACTCATTACAAAATATTGATATCCATACATTTAGCACAAATATTGCTCTTATATACATAAATTACACTATAAAATTGTTTTGCAATCGGTCCATATTTGGTCATAGCTCTCATACTAGGTCCCCTCCAGAAAATCACTTAAATGCACAATATTCATTGCCAAATAATGATATAGATACAGAATTTTGAAATTTTGTCTTTATATACATAATTGGTCATCGCTCCCATACAAGGTCCTTTTACGAAAATCTCTTAAACGCACATTACTCATTACCAAATAAAGCTATTGATACAAAATTTGTCACAAATATTAGTTTGGTATACAAAAATTCTATTTCAAGATTTTTTCACGATCGGTCTATAACATGGGTGCGGTCGGTCCCATGCAAGTGTCCCTTCAGAAAATCACTTGAACACACATTACTTATTACTAAATTACGATATAAATACAAAATTTGACTGAAATATAGCTTTTATGTACAGAAATTTAGCTTAAAGAATATTTTACAATCGGTCTATAATTGGTCATATCTTCCATACTAGGTCCTGCCCCTAAAAGCAATTTAACCGTATTTAACTAGTTGCATTATCAATTTGTGTAGAACAATATTATATATGTATATGTATTTTGAAAATCCTTAAATCTTTCACACACATGCATATACGCAAAGCATATTTAAGGGCGTTATAAAAATATAAAAGAAAATGGGGTTTGTAATGTTAAACAAATCTTGGAATTGTAATTTAAGACATGAGAAAACTTATTTCTACAAATATTTGATCAATTAAAAAAGTATTAATATAAAAGTAGCTGGTGGAGGGTATTTAAGATTCGGCTTAGCCGAATATAGCACTCTAACTTGTTATCATTGTTATTGTTGATTTCCTCATGTTCTTCATCGCTTTTTCATCATCCTCATTTTCAATAATCAGGGTTTCATCAAAATTAACACGATAGCTTTTACATACACTCCCGCTCACTTAAATAGGTTCACTGTTTTGTTTACATTCAAATTAATTTTTTGCAAAAAATAATGGACTAATTAGTTATATTAAAATTTTAAATAATAACATGATGTCTTAGGTATCACCAGTGAGACAAAAATTAGCGCAATACCTAATAGCGGATTTTTAATAATTGTTTTCTAACATACTACGTTTTTTAGCTATATTTTTTTGCTCACTTGATTAGGTTCAATCAGAATAAAATCAGTTAACTGCTGGCAGTGAGTAAAATCCATTCATATTCTAGTGTCTGTGAATATAGACAATATATTTTTTAACAAATAGGTTGCGGTAAGCCATTAACTAAAGAATAAAATGACAAAATTCAGGCGTTTTTGGAAACTGTCCAAAATCACAGGAATTTGGCAAAAAAAAAAAAAAAATAGGCAAATTCAGAATGTTATTCGCAATTTTATAAGAAAACAGTTTGAATATTAAGAAAACATAAATAGAACTACATATAGAGTACAAACAAAAGCGGACACAAGAGATTTCATAAAATTTGCTTCGAAGTCAAGTGATTCTGTAGCAAAAATTAAAGAAAAAGTGGGTTTTACAACAAGCCTAGCTACAGTATAACGAATTGTAAGAAGGGCCAAGGCTTTAGAAATATTAAAAAATTTATAAAAGCCACTCCACAGTGGGGCAGAATGGAAATTTTTTGGAAATAAATCTGGCATTTCTAAACGGCTGATCCGATCGGGATAAAATTTGGCATGAGCGTAGCCAAGGAGTATTCGAGTTTAAGTTTTGAAGATGAACCCTGCAGATGCCCCAGGGACGGCGCTGTGGCGTCTCAAAGTGGGGTACCTACGACATGTAAAATTTTTAAACTCGTGCCATTTTTTTGTTTTTCACCCAAATACAAAGATTTTTATATTTTGTGAAAGCGCTCGACGAGATCTTGAAAAAACATGCTTGGACATACTACTTATCTCTTATAATATCCGAGTTATAGGCATTTAAAAATTTAGTGATACAAAATTTACCATACCTTGGTCCGCCTTTTTTTGAATACCGGGCGTAATTTTGGACCAAATGGACTCAATTTTTTCTTGTTAGTTAGACAACAAAATTTCCAATAATATACAAAATTTCAGATCAATATCGTTTACAGATCCAAAAATATACGTTTTTTAATTTAAAAATTCAAAAAATTTTAGATTTTTGGCGTTTTTTTTTGCCAAAAATGTGTCTTAACTCTTTTATTAATAAAATAAAATTTTCTTTAAGAACATATAACAATTTTATAGTTTTCTAAAAGGTATCTTTACGCAGAACGCTTTGGCGTAAAAAACTTGTCCTATTTTTTGAAAATGTTGCCACTGCGTCTTTCCGAATATGACCTATTTTTCATCAAAACTTCAACTTTGGGCGACATGTTCTAAAATCCCAAAGCTGGGATCAGAAAACTGAAAGCAGTTTTGGAAACCTCAATATGTTTTCTATTTACTTCCAAAAGTATTTTCCCAGCCCTGAAAGAAATGTGGACCCTATGGGCAAAAAAAGTAAAAAATCCCATTTTTGGGTTTTTCATTCCTATTTTTGGGAATTGCGGGATGCCCTTTGACCTTTTCAATTTTTTTTTGCATATTCTTATTTGAAATGACAAATTTAACAAGCGTTGAAAATTTCATTGAGTTTTGTTCATAAATAAAGATTTTGTCATATATTACATATTTGTTTAATTTCTAAAACTATGATTTATATCAAAATTTTAATAGGATCGCAGATAGCTACAACAATTTAGTCCATATTTATCCCTTAATATCATTTTTTAGTTAGATATGGAAATTCTCGACCCTTTACAAAAAATTTCAAGCCAATATCTCAATTACATTCAAAAATATGTTCATTTAAACCTGTGTCCTTTAATTTCATCTTTTTCATATTTTTATGACAGAACATACATTTGGTGTTGAATAAAATATTTGGACAATTTTTAAAAATTATTTAGTTAAATATTTTATTATAATATTGTATATACAATAAAAAAATTATAATTTTATTATGAGCCACGCACAACAACACCTAAATCACCCCACACAAATTACCTTTCCCGCCCACCGAAATATAAAACACAATTTAATACAATTCATCAGTTAGTATAATAGCTTTTTTTATTTGAACTGTTTATCTTAAACATAATACAATTAATTCTTACAACCTACTTATATAGTTAATTCCTAACACTACTTATTTTCTATAAAATAATCTGTCATATCGGTATACATAT